ATTCTTCCGCTGAGTGATCTTGATTCCCTGACTAGCCGGTTCCCATACCGTAACACTGCAAACGACACACACGACCAAACACATAACGCCCAAGACTGATTGTCGGCAAGCTTCTGGCTCCGCTGTGTTGTACTAGAGAAGTGACGTTCTGAAGTGCTGCCCACTGCCTTCTATATACATGTCTGTCTGTGTTAGAGCAGTTGCTGACCTCAAAGCTTGCTGCCTTGTGTGAGTTGAAAAAGAGGCAAGACTGATGCGAGCGCTGCACATGCAACTTTGATTTGGGACCTGAGAGTGCGTTGAAAAGAGTGTGCACTGCCATTCTCCAGGACAATCATTTCCTGAGAGACTTCGTTATCGACAGTTTGCCACCAGCACCGAAAGGTGCACCTCAAATCGACGTGACATTTGACATTGATGCCACTTGGCACAGCTGGGGGCAATTGAGACTCCGACAGGACTTGGCTTGTTTGAGTACGGTCATGTAAGCATGTAATTTGCGCTGTGGGATTGAACTCTGATATTTTTGTGTGGAATGGCTTAGGACAAGATATATATATATTATGAAAATCTGTGGAGGGTTTGCTTCTTTTGTTCGAACGTGATTGGATGGTAGAGCAAGCACAATCAAGGCATTTAGGATTTGCCAATTCAAACATGTATATATAGAAGCGTTTGCATATAGTAGTATTACAAGGCGGAAAGACAGTTTTTTGCACCTTTCCAGCTTGTTTGTGGCCAAGGCTAATGGCATATTGCAACTCAACTGAAAATATTGGGCTTCAGTCAAAAAAAGTATGATGATTGAATCGATGTGTTTTCCTGGACGCCCATGTTCAGACCAAGAATTGTTGGTTTTAGTCAGAAGGTTTGCAAGTTGTTTGGAGCTGACTCTTTCGTGCTGGCCCCTATGCAGGAAAGTGTCCGCGATTGAGAAGTCAACGGGGAAGCTCAGCACGCTGACAATCTCAAATGAGAAGAGATTTCTCTCCAAGGAGGACGTCGAGCAACTCATACAGGCTGGTCAACTCTGTCAGACATGCAACTTTTTGTCCAAATTTACAGTGGCGAATCCGTGCCTTACTAGTAGTAACAAGTGCCACGCTAGTAGTAACAAGTGCCACGCTAGTAGTAACATGAAGCTAGTAGTAACAAGTGCCAATACCCACCACAGGAAATGATAGGTTCAAACTACTTGGTCCGCCGGACGTAGATGGCCAGGTGGTTTTGGGACAATCTTTTGTGCGTTGAAGAAGTTTTGTTATTGAAACATATTGAAACTACTTTGGGATTAGCATTTCTTTGATTGTTAAGGGTGTTTTTTTTGCCTAGTTGTTTGTGTCAACAAACTAATTTGGTTACTCAAGGTCGCATGCGCCGACACAACAAACCAAGAAAAGTTATTCTGCAAAGGTTGTCCGTCTACGCCAAGGATTTCACAGACCCGGAGTTCATCACAAACTTGAAATGCACCAGGATTCGAGAGCCGTGCGTGGCTCACTGCATGTCTTTTTCTGATGCCGTCAGGACCAAACACATCATTGCTCTAAGCCGAAAAGAACACAGCAACACCAACGTCCCTTGCTTGCCATGCGATATCATCAGCATCATCTCCATATCATTATCATGCGATAGCGTGTGTGCCTGTGACATCATCTTCGGAAGCACATCCAAAGCAACGTCATTAACCCCCGACCCTATTTTAATCACACGACTAATCGATGACAATGTTGTGACATCGATAACCAGAAAAAATACTGTAAACACCATGCATGTTCTACATAATTGCTCGAAACCATGAGAAATACCATAGAATATGCTTATGAACATTTCGACGCTCTCCCCAGTGGCCCTGCAGACACATAGAAAGTGCTGTAAAAAAAACACACACGACTTTTGTTTTAAACAAGTGCTCGAAATGACCGAGCCGTCTACGCCCGGCAGGCCAACTACTTACTTTTACTCTAATTCCTACTCTAAGCGGTGATGTCGTCATATCCTATATATACACATATTTTATGTATTCATATGTGGTGATTGGGCAAGGGCTATTGTGATTTCAAGTGATTTGATTTAAGCAAGGCTGAACAGCTTGCTGTGTTGTGGGGATTCAATTCTGCGGATGTGCATTTTGCAGCTTAGCCTGAGGCCGCAGAAGATGGAGGACCACAGGGCACTAACGAGCTGCCCGGGGCTGAAGGAAGGAAGGCTGGGAGTTTTCAAAACTACACACGGGATTCTACTAGTACAGATCTCAATTGCCCAAACATCCTTATAGAATCTTCTAGAATCATCTAGAATCTAGATCTTTATAGCTAGCCTGTATATGCCTACCAATTCGGGTTGCAGATGAATGGTTGTGATGGGTACCACTGCCGCTACTTCTTGTGTAGCTTGTGCACAAGCACCAACGTTTTGATGGAAAGTTGCTTTTTGAATCCCTTTGATGCATTTATAATGCGTTTCAGCTGCTCGATCGGTAGCAAGTCTAGCTCAGAGTCACTTCAAACGGATCAGTGTCATTAGGTGCCCCTGATTGTTCTTCAATGCCCAAACATGAAAAAGGCACAGCTGCCATGAAAGGCGTTTGGTACATCCCATGCCGCACGGGTCAGTCGTGGTGCCGTACAAGACTACTGGTCAGGGCTGACCATTCAACCCAGGCCGACCCGAAAGGATGGAAAGGGCCCGAAGGACCTAGGAATGTTGCCACCCATGATTGTTTGTGTGCAACATAGTGCAACCAAAAAAAACAGACACATGAAACAACACTAATGAATACTAATGATAAGTTCATTGCATTTTGGGGTGGTCACCAAGGTTTTCGAGGAGAATACCTTGCATAAACCTCAAAAGTGCAAGCAGTCAAGGCTGTCGGATCTGTTGGATTGGATTAGTGACTTGAGATTTTGAGATGCTCAAACTGGGCTAGGTCTTGTTGAGGTCAGAATTGCGATCCTACGGTGTCTTATCTCAACAATGACTTCTCAATCATGGGACGCAGACCTTTGCCTTGGCTTTTTGGCCATGAACAATGTCCAGCATGAACAGTATCGGGTATGGATGCAAGTGTACGCTTGACGTGTGCGAGGCGAGATGAGACTCAGCATTGCACCATAACGGTTCAGTACTTTTGCTGCATCATGTCATACCCGAAAAGATGCAATTGAGTCATTTTGTTTGTACCCGTTATATAGTACAAATTGAATGTGCAATGCAGACTGTGGCCACCCTTGCAGCTGATGTTGCTTCCCAGAAGTCGCTAGACGGTGTCTCTACAGAGTAGCACGAAGCACTAATTAACGAAGATCAAACAAGCATTGTTTTGGTTTAGACCTGTTTCCCAGCCAAGGTTCTACCACACAGTTTCCGGTGGAGTGCCGGCGCCAGAGGCCAAATCAGGGAGAACAGATAATACATCGCCATTTGAAGAAGACTGCGTATTATAACATATTATAATTATAACGTATTATGATCTATTATGTTGTTCTGATTGTGAGAAAGTCCAGCATGTTGTCCAGCATGCAGTATACAAATCGTACAAATCATGTTTTCAAGCCTGTAGTTTCTAGTTACTAGTTGTTGATGTTGACCTGTGTTGAGTGGCTGTCATTGGACGACAGGACGTAATGGCAGCCATTGATGACTTGGAGTACCTCTTTGAGAAATGCGAATGGCGCGGACACCTCGCAGAGCAACCTGCCTGATGAATGAGTCCTTGTGAGATCTTGTGAGTCTCAGTCAGTCTGACTATATACTTAGGTGAGTCCCCCAGGGCAGCCGAGGGGGAGAAAGGCAAACACAAATTACAAAATCACCGAAGAGACCAAAATTACAGTATATATTGCATTTGCGGCCAGCGATACAATATTGACTTCAAACGCAAAGTGCACAATATAGGACAAGACACGTTCCACAATCACCTCCACCATTTCACCACGATGACCCAGGTCAGGAGCTGACTTTATGAAGTCTGCATGAGAAAGCCACGAGATTGGAGGTGGGATTCTGGGGTAAATACCTGGAGGTTACCCGGACGGGCCGGAGTGCACGGCGGTGAGGTATTTTCTCCGAGACACAGATGTTGGTGGAGTTACAAGACACCTGGACCAAGACTATTGAGTTCCCCCCTGCCATGATATGGAATATGGAGCTGTTGGCCGTCCCACACTCCAATCTCAAGGCTTTCCAGCCCAAAGTGCTCCAAGTAGCTTGGGTCCTGCTGGTTGGAAACAAGGTGGACTACTTGTGTGACCTTTTTACTGGATCTTAGAACCCAACTGGCACATGGCTGGGCGACAACAGAAGTAGCCGAAGTCGCTTTACCCTCTTCGACAAAGTCGAGTATTTTTACATGGGCTGGAATCTGTTTTCGTCAACTGCAGCGGCGCAGAACCTCACAGGTGCTTTACTATATGCCATCACCTGTGAGTGGCGAAAGATACAATGAGCTATGCAGATGGTGTGCTGCAAGAGGGATGCTTGGTCAATTCATTGCCTGTTTTGTTCTTTGGCGCATGCAGACTCATGGCACTGTTTTGCCAGAGCTCGCCGAGTAGATGAAGGCTTGGATGGGGCTGTCCCTATTCCTTCCCAAATCTATGTAACCACAGAGGGCCGGACTAGGGTTGTGCACAGACCCTAAGGCTTCGGTCTCTCAAAGAGACTTGCACTTGTACAGAGGTGCTAGGCCAGCCCAATGAAAAGATGTGTGACCAGGGTGTTGAACTGTTTTGCCAAAGGAGATATACAATCTGGATGCAACGCAACTGGTACTGTTCATCGGTGGCATGAGAGGAAGGAGGAATGCGGTATACGGTATACTGGTACAGCCTGAGACGTTGTTCGTATTCTTGCACTGAATGTGGCAAGCATGTTTACATTCATCCAACTTCATTGGCAAAGGCGAGCTTTTGATGCACAGGGCAGGGAATTTCATGTTGCATGTTTTCCCAGCAAATGCAAGACGTTTGGCCGATGTTCGCTTTTGGAAGAGCGAGGCATCCCTTCGGCGCTGATATTTTTACAGGATATGCGATGGCTTGGAGTCCCAGCCAGCATGCTGTCACCATGTCCCAGGAGGTAGGCTTGCTTTGTTGCAGCGCAAACGGTCGGAAACAATTTCCAAAGCAAAGCAACTTTGTTCTTGTCAGGGTCAGGGTCACTTATACAATCATACATACATATATGCAAGTTCAATTCCACGCCAGCAGGTTTTTTTCCTGGCAAGAGTAAGTAGTACACGATAGAGACCACTTATCAGGTTGGTCCTCGTATTTCTTCACTTCAGACCAAAGTGCAAACCATTTGTTGCGTACAACTTTGACCTTCCTATGTTCATGTATACTCCCTTGGCTGAGGAAGGACGCTGAGTTGGAAGAGCTTTTGCTCACGCCGGGGATCACAGACAAGAGATTTGCAAGATTGTTCTGCCTTCGAAAGGCTCAGCCCGTTGATGCCAAGAGTTTCTCCTTGTTTTGAGATCTCACGTAAATATCCCGATGACTAAACACCAACACATAGCACCCTTCAATGATTCAAAACTCGTGCCTCTTGCACGAGCGAGGGTCTGACCAATTCCCCTGCACAATTATAGCTGCACCAGACACCTTCAACTGATGTCAGATGTCCCCATGCACAGAGAGGGTTCAAAACACATCAAGTTCGATACGGCTTATATGAGACCTGTTCAGCAATTTGCAACTGGTTTGGGACACATTTTGCTCATGGGGATCAACCCTTGACATAAGCACGCTGAGACAACTGGGCCAGGCAAGGCTTCATTGTTGCGGAGGAATTGGGAGATGTTTATCTTGCACGAGTGCTAGAAGCGTGGCTGGGAGCCTTTAGCGACGCACCGGCGTCTTTCATCTTATGCTTTTGTGGACGCACGATGTTTGAATCCAAGGAAGCGATTATAGCATTGTATCAAGTATCTAGTCAACCGCTTGCTAATTTGACATGGGTCCTTACCAGTAGCTGGCATTGTTCATGTTTAAGGTCCCGAATGGGATCAACTGATCCTGAAGCTGTGGATCGCTCCAAGCAGATGGTGCACAATATTTGTGCTGGGGTCTCATCAGATCTCATCAGTATAGAGACAAGGATCCAGGCACTGCAAGTTTCACCGTTCATGCTTCACAGTTTCACCATGTCTCAACTGTTCTTCCTATTCTCATGCCAGTGCTTTGCCTTTAAAGTGTTTGATTTGAATTGGGATGATTTTTGTTTGATGATGGTGGTGATTTCTTGAGGGTATAGTCTGAGGATATTTGATCATTCTCCAACCAAAGTTTTTAAGTGTAGGCCATCGCTAGTAGGTTGGAGGCCATCGCTGGTAGGTTGGAGGCCATTGCTGTGTTTTGCCCTTTTAAGCGTGAGTCTGTTTGGTCCCGCACCTAAGCTCCATCAACTGCCTCAGGGCCCTGGTGCGCAAAAGCACAGAGAGCTTGGGCATGACCTGCGAGATGCGTTGAATGTCAATACCTAAGCCAACTCAATGTGCATGTTTTAGCAATTATGGCCTCGTGGCCTCGTGTGGCATCAAATTGTGTGGTTTTCGATTTTCTGCTGGGCAGGTCCTTGCCACCTTGACCCGCATGTGTCCAAAGTCCCAAGAACGATCTACATTGGAGGCCTCGCCAGCATTCATGCTGTTAGTAAGATGCGTCGTTTGTATAATATAGACTGCTGTAGTTCTGGTCAGGACCTGAAATGTATGCTGTTGTTATAATATATTTACCAGGCTACCGCCTGCAGCCGCCGACCCGCAAGGGATAGAACCTTAGCGCTAGTCTTTCTCTAGCCAGAGAGGTGGGGTGAGGCGTGACTGTCGAGGTTAGCCTTAGCCTTAAGCCTTAGCCTTAGCCTTAGCCTAGCCTTAGACTTAGCCTTAGCCTTAGACTTAGACTTAGACCCTACCTCCCCTACCCCTCCGGACCCGGGTGTTGTTGTAAAAGGAAGTTGTAGGAGTTCCCCTATTTTCTTCCATTGTTGTAGAATTATCTAGCACTTCCTCTTGCATTTAGGTTCCCAGATTTGCACAAAAATTGATTAACCTATTGTTAACCTATTTGATTCGAGTGTTCCCGGCCAATGCCCTGGAATTGTCCTAGGAATGCTCTAGGCTTTGTTTAGATTTTGCGCTGGACGAGGTCCGGCCAGTGCCCGTGGTAACGTGAAAGGCTCTGGTAAGATTTTCGCATGCCTGTCAGGCGCCCGTGTCCGCGCCATGTGGCGTGTTGGTTCTAGGACGGAGCAGCGCAAACGGAAGCTCGGGCAGGTGGTGGCGAGGTTCTCGCGCCAGCGAGGGAAGAGACTGTAGCCATGTACATGCGGGCGGCACGCGCGCGTGGCGGAATGTCTGCAGTGCGGTAGGCCGGGGGGGGGGGACGGAAGGGTGTGGAAGCGGGTGGTTCCACGGTAGGAGGAAGGACGTTGCCCTGAAAGCATCCAGCCGAAAACGTAACAAAATCTAGACAAAGCCTAGAGCATTCCTAGGAAAGCCAAGAGCATTCCCAGAAAAAATCAAGGGCATTGGTCGGGAACACTGGCATAAAATAGGTTAGCAAAAGGTTAGCAATTCTTGGGGGAAATCTGGGAACCTAAAAACAAGAGGAAATGCAAGAAAATTTTGGGAAAAGCATCCTGCCGAATAAACAAAGCCTAGAGCATTCCTAGCATCCAGTCGAAAACGTAACAAAATCTAAACAAAGCCAAGAGCATTCCTAAGAAAAATCAAGGGCATTGGCCGGGAACACTGGCATAAAATAGGTTAGCAAAAGGAAAAGGTTAACAATTTTGGGGGGAAATCTGGGAACCTAAAAACAAAGGAAGCGCTAGAAAATTCTTGCAAAAGCATCCAGCCGAAAACGTAACAAAATCTAGACAAAGCCTAGAGCATTCCTAGGAAAATGTTGGAAAAGCCTTTGAAAATCCCATAGGTTAGCAAAAGGTTAACAATTTTTGGGGGAAATCTGGGAACCTAAAAACAAGAGGAAGCGCTAGAAAATTCTTGGAAAAGCATCCACCCGAAAACGTAACAACATCTAGACAAAGCCTAGAGCATTCCTAGGAAAATGCTGGAAAAGCCTTTGAAAATCCAATAAATCCAACAGAAAACGTGACAAAATCTACGAACAAGCAAGGGCATTGGCCGGGACCACGCCGCGACCAGCCCGGGATTCGAGCCCGGGACCATTTTGGACCGTGCTTATTTTCCCGCGCGGGTGGAGAGGGTGCCCCAAGATGTAAATCAATTGGGATGGCAGAATCTTGGACAATCCAGGTCGCCATCACGTCGCAATCAGGTCGCACTTTGGGAGCAATCCCGTCACACTTTCGTCACTGCAACAAGGGTCCGGAGGGGTAGGGGAGGTAAGGTCTAGGTCTAAGGCTAAGGACTAGGTCTAAGGCTAAGGATAAGGCTAAGTCTAAGGATAAGGCTATAATCTAAGGCTAAGGCTAAGGCTCAAGCTTAAGGCTAAGGCTAACATCGACAGTCACGCCTCACCCCACGGTGTGGGGTCGGCGGATATATAGTGGCAAGTGGCACATAGCAAGCAGCAATCTGCCAAACTGTGCTGCGGAACGCTTGTTCAAGCTGCGACGAAGCCTTCGAAACTCATAAGTTGTGGGCATTTGAAACAGCATGAAACAGTTTGCCTTTCGATCGTTTCCAGACAGGCCCATCTCGCATCCCAGCTGAGTGCCGTCAACTCTACGGAGGCAAGCAGAAAGTAACATGTGTGTTTTTTTGCTTTTGGAGACATTGAGATTAATGTTGATCCTTCTTTGACGTCGAAGTGCCTCATAGTGCGGCTGTTTTTGTGTCTTCACATGCTGTGTGTAGTTCCAAGCAGAGATGAACATCAAGTTTATTGAGGCCATGCTAGCTTTGCAATGGCTCCAAAGGTTGGCATTGGACAGTGTCAGAAGGGCCCAGTTGTTTCTGGTAGACGTTGAAGAGCAGAAACCAAACCGATGCAATTTGGATGTGCTCGCAAAGATCGCAAAATCATGTAAGACAAAAGGTTTGGATTACTTTCCAGTCTGATGTGAAAAGCATGAAAAAACGCTCTGAAACGGGTAAGACAAGTGAGGCTCCGATCTGGAAAGTTTGTCACTTAGATTGAGACGATGAACGCATTTCAGTTTCCCTGATGAATATTATATATAAAGATATGATATGGGCCTGATATTGGACCACAGAATGAGTGTTTATTCTTGTCCTCCAAGTTCAAAAAGGGGCCAGCAGTGACTGAAGGTATTCAAGTCAGCAATTTTGGGGAGGCTTAGAGAGATTGTAAGCAGTAAGGGTGACCACTGTCTTTGGCCAAGGCCTGTGCTGAGGTGACTGAGCTGGCCCTGGAGGCCTTTCTCTTGATGTGCACCGGGCGATAAGCTTCTCTTGGTATGCAGTACGCATGGTGCTTGTTGTTTCTTTTGCTAAGACATAATACCAACATGTACCCAACAGAGTTACAGTAGTTCTGAAAGCTCATCTTTAGCGATTGCATGTCGAAGTGATGCGAAAACCAAAGGAGAAGAACTTTGTCCGCGATCACTTCGCTCATGCTGTGCACTGCTTGGCATCGGTGGCTGGTGAGCAGACACAGGCAGCATGCTGCGGCAATGGTCAAAATCTTAGGTCGCACCAAATCCCAAAAGTCACAATCTGTGACGAGATACCAAAATTGGTGTCTAAGAGACTCTGGGAGGAAAAACGCAAGGGGGCCTTACCTTTTTGTTTTTCCCCGCTTAGACCCCTAGAGAGGTATGACAATACATTGCTGTTGACAGATTTACGTAATTATGCCAAAGAGTCTGATTATTATAGGCTTTGAGCATTTTTGAGCCTTGCAGCATGTGTCATATTCCGTATACCATATTATATCATATATCATATTAATATGTGTTCTTGATACTTTTTGTGCGTATTGGCCCGCAGGCGGCCTTGATCTCTCAGTTGATTTCATCACCGGAGGCTAGGCGCAGCTAGGTTGAGGAATCAGGAAGGAGTTTCTCAACGAGGGACTTTGGCACTCAACTGTCGAAGCTAGTGTTATCGACGTTGAAGAAGCATGAAGAAATTACCTGGCTTGAGATGCTGTCAACATCTGTCAACCTTTGTTCATCTAATGGGGATCAATACAATAGTGTATACACTACGTGCTGGCCTTCCACAGCTTACTTTGCTCCTAAAAGCAATGGCGTCCAACCTGATAGCGATGGCCTCCAACCTAATAGCAACTACGTGCTGGCCTTCCACAGTCTGGCTTACTTTGCTCCTAAAGTACCAGGTCAAACACGGAGCTCCTCGGCTGTCGGCGGAGAAAACTCTGCAGGTGTCGGAGACTGAGCAGTAGTCCTGGCACGGATGGGCATGGTAGTCCTGGTATGCAAAGTTGAAGTGAAAGTGGACAACTCGAGCTTTGTCCGGGTGTAACAAGATCAGACTCCCACTAGCCGCGGTTTGTTAAGTTACAACTTGCGACTTCTAGGGTACCCCTTGGAGGCACCCTCCAGCTACAGACGGGGGAGATGGGGATAGAGAAATGTAACTTGGAATGTGGCAGGGTAGACCTACCCAATCTCTGCAAACGCGCGGAGGCACAACAAAGGTTATATAACTCAGTTCCTGCCTGCCACGTCTGAAGTGTATTTTTCTTGCCTGGAAGACAGGTTAGATTCACGTTTCATCATATTTCATATAATGCATTTCATTTGCTACTTGTAGACTCACGTGGAAGTTATGTTTTCAGACTGGCAAAGTTACCTGGTTTTGAAGGTGATTGTTAAAACAACACTACATCAGCATTGTGCGAGCATTGCAAATGTTTCTTGGTCACTGGAAGACGACTCCGCTTCTGGCTTGTCGTTCTTCCTCTCCTCATCCCCGGGTATGTCCACATTTCACAATTGATATGTAAGTTATGTAAGTGAAGTGGTTCCGAATTCAATACAAATCGTTTTTGGGAGCTTCTTTGCTTTTGGAATTGACATAAAGGGATATTGGTTAGCACGACGTCTATGTGCCCTTCCAATATTTGCAGCCAGACTGCGATCAAGAATGTTGCGCATGTGAGAACGCCTTTTCGGACGATTTGTTTTGCCAGCGAACAAGGTTGCACGCGGCCAGTATGATGGATCTGAAGGACTCGGTCGTGGCCGCAATCCCAGCTGGCTGCCTTCGCAAGTTTTGGACATGACCAGAAGATATTAGCTTGTATTAAGATAGGGAGACCTGTCCTCCCAAAAGCCGTCCTCAAAATTAGAAAATTGACCAAAATCCATCGGTTGGGGGTCTCCCTATTAAATTACACACCCAGATATATGAGAAGATTGATACTAGTAACTAGGACATAATTTGTTGAAAGGTGTGTCCTGGATCAACAACTGTTGGAATGACACGCTCCCGGACCGATCTCTTTATCCGATCCCACTCATTTTCCCCATCGCAAGAAATGTCAATGGCACAGGTGACTGTGTTGTGAATTGGAAAGTTGGAAAGGAATGCTGTGAATCTACAGGCAGCTGATGTCAGCAAACAGCATGAGGTGAATGTCGCGGAAAACGCAAGCAATGCACCATTTGATATCATCTAAATTTGTAGTACCAACCAGATACAGTACTTCTTTTCCTGAGATGCTTAAGAAGGCTTTACAAGACCAGGTTTGGGAGTTCATTGCCTATAGAATTCTATAGTGTACTGTAACAGGTTTATGAACCTACAGCAGAGAACTTTCATTAGTTGGAGTGTGGGTCACTGTTTGCTTTGACCAATGATTGCGTATGATGCTGCTAAAACAAGTTTTGTGCAGCTCTCAGCTCAACGCTCAGTTCCTCAGCTAATTATGGGCAATTGAGAGGAGCTTGTTCTCTTGAAGTGACCAGCTGGAACAAAATGAGCAAGATTTCCATAAAATGCAGAAATAGCTGAGTGCAAGTGCCTCTGGGCAAACTGACATTGCGTGCTTTTTTCTTGGTTCCCGTTCAAAGAATGGCACACTTGTTCAACAGGTTGTGTCTACCCTTCTGAGGCTGACTGGGAATCACAAGCAGCACGCTTGGCGCGACAGATGTGTGGTCCCAAGAAGGTTTACTCAAGTTCCATAGACTCCCACATCATCCTACAACAAGATGCAACCAGCGCGTTTATTTTACGGGCTTACGCCGCACGCCCAACAAGCGGGCCAGCAGGGGGGCCCAGTGGCAGGCGGCAGAGGGAAACAGGTGAGAGTGGTGGTGGTAGTTGTGTTTGTTGGTGGTGTTGTGGTAGTAATTAGTTGTTGTGGTTGGTGTTGTGGCTGTGGCTGTGGTTGTTGTGGTTGTTGCTGTACGGGTACCCCCCTTCCTTCAATATTGCTCAAAATGACCCCAAGGTACGAGTTATGCAGCGCAAGTTGTCTTGCTTTTTTTGGTATTTTCTGCTTTTGGATTCTGTTTCTGGCCAGAGCAACAACCACCACCACCACAACAACACCAACAACAACCAAAACAGCAAGTGTAAATTTCGGAACATCACCGGGCGCGCCTCCAGACCTCCTCCCTAGTGGCCCTGGGAGAATACCGGGGTATTATGCCTGTGGTATATCTGTGGTAGTCCAAGCGCGCCTCCAGACCTCCCCAGTGGCCCTGCGGGATTATTTGTGAATCCGAGACAAGGGGCAGCGACCGTCCTTGCCATGGCGGGCAACCGCCTCCTACGGACGCTTGTGCCACTGACCATCGTGGTGCGGGGCTACCTTCTGACAGCCATCATTTTTATAACAAAGGTCACGGTCAGGTGCCCGAAGACGATTTTTTGTAGAGGACAGGTTGCCGAAGAGCAGCATCGACAAGTCTGCAAAGACTATTTTGAGCAAAACAGCCACAAGACACGCCGCAGGCCGGCGGATCTGAGGTACCATGAGCATTTCGTGTAGCCAAACAGCGATGTTTGTTCAATTGGCCACTGCTTGCACAAATGGTGTACTGGGATCATGTGCCATGTTTTGTAGGTCATACATTGCGTATCATTGCGTCATCGACTTGATTCTAGTCTCTCACAGATTCTTTCATAGCTCTTGCATTGACTAATGCTGACTAAAGCTGGAATCGAGGTCGCTTCCAGACCGACGAACCCTGCGCATTGTCCGTGCCTAAACTTGATTTTGATGGAAATTGTTTCGTTTGCAATAAAGGTGACGGCGTCCGTCCGTGTCAGGTTAGCATTTGTGGTGTGCGTTGCAAGACCTTTACGGAAGAGTGTTGTATGTTGCACTGAAACTTCGTGTTGTCCAAGATCTCCGATGCACGGCCAACCGCATCCAAGCTAAAGACCGCCATGGCCCAACTGCGTGGAGCTCAGGTACGTAGACTGAATTGTGTAGGACCATGTTGGAAGGGACTGGGATGCTCTCCAATCAGAATCGCTTGCCAGTGCTGGCAGCATGTTCCTGGGCAAACATTGAGTAGAACATTTGTCAGAGACGATTTGTTGTTTTCTTTCTAGACCATCGCCCGAGACTCTGGAGCAATTGTAGCATTTTGGCTGTAGTTGCACAAACCATGGATGTGCAAAGAACTCAGAAGTGATGTACTCCAAAAAGATCAGCTTGAAGCCATAACCTCGGCAAGATAGTGCCATGAGCTGTGAGGCAAAAGGTACACGATGGACATGGGCGAGTCCTCCGACATAGTAAGAACAAATCTTGCCAAAACTTCAGGAGCCTGCAAAGTTTCTCACAACCGCTCTCATGCTTTGGGGTTTTCGGATGGACCATCTAGCTTGAGTTCACATGGCTCAAGTGTGGCAGACTGTTTGGAGCTAGTCCGACAAAAGGCTCCAAGAAAAAAGCTCCAGTGTAAAGCTCCATTGCATTTAGCTCCGAGGCTTGTCACACTTCTCCGTTTTTCGCTCAAGCCATGGCCATAGAGGCGTCTCAAGCATTGATTGCGCGGAGATGTTTGAAGTTTCGCCCCTTGGAGTTGGCTGGTTCTAGTACTTAGTGGATTGTATGTTGTAATATGTGGTACTGTATTGTATTTAAGACTTAAACAATTGCCGTTCTCCATGACTTGCAGCTTCTTCCTTTTGGAGTGCTTTTGATTCGAGGTTTTATGATGCATGATGCCTGGGAGAACGCATTGTTTGTGCATTGGCCTGTCCCAGCAGAACGATTGGCAGAGATGTTGCCAAGGTGGACAAGAACCAACGGGATGGAATTAATGTAGTCCTCAGATTAATAAAGACCCCTAGAATTATGTCCTTTTTTTCCCCTGCACTGATTAATAAAGGCCCCTAGAATAATGTCTTTTTTTTTGGAGGGGTTTGTTATAGTTTACTTTTTCCCTTTTGAATTTGCTGGGATTTGCTTATCTTACAGGCTTTTGGATTGAGATGTCTATCAAACATTTGGAGATTTCCATTGAGATTTGATTCTTTTGGAGGCTTTTGGATGGAGATTTCTATTGAAAATTTGGAGATTTCCATTGAGATTTGATGCTTTTGGAGGCTTTTGGATGGAGATGTCTATTGAAAATTTGGAGATTTGCTTTCCAAAAGTCAGTGCGCACTTTCTTTATAAAATCCCTTATTTAAAAGTATTGAAAAACAAAAAAAATCATTCAAGCAAAGGGGGTAGTCCAGCAAGCAGCTTTCTGACATTATTTGGGGGGGGCCCCTAGAATAATGTCTAGAGATTTGAGGCTTTAAATCTTTATTCCTTTTCTTTGCCTTTTGATTTGCTTTACTCACCCTCTATTCCTTATTTACTTTTCCTAAGCTCTTAGTTGTGAAGCTTTCCAAAAGTTTCCAAAAGTCAGTGCGCACTTTCTTTATAAAATCCCTTATTTCCATTGAGATTGGATGCCTTTTGATGGAGATTTCCATTAAACATTTGAAGATTTCCATTGAGATTTGATGCTTTTGGAGGCTTTTGGATGGAGAT